AAAAGATATTATATTAAAATAATTATATTTTAAAAGAAATTTTTTTTATAATTAAACTGTTTATATTATAATATTTTATTAGAAAGGTAAACTAATTCTTTTATCATGTTTAATTATTATATTAATTTAAGATAAAATCCCTCAAATTAATTTTTATAAAAAAATTGAAGCTTTGTTTTTAATTAATATAAAAACAATTGATTATTATTGAAAAATTAAAAACATTTCATTTATAAATTTATAGAAATAAAATAAAATTTAAATTCTTTATATTAATAAAATAAAACTACTTAATAAACATAAGTTTTTGAAAATTTCATATTTAAAAAAGGTTTATTAGTTTTTTTTAATAAACATTTTTTAGTTAATTAATATTTATAAAAATATAAATAAACAATTAATATTCTACTAAAAATGTATTATAATTTCAATATACCAAAATAAATATTATTTATTTTAAAAAAATAATTACCCCTCAAATGATTTATTCAATTATTCTAAGTACAGTGGTAATTTTTTGTTCTGATGAATTTAAGCTTAAAGAAGCAATAATTACTTCAGTGCCTGTAAAAATAGTTGTTAAAGAAACATGTAAAAATGAAGAATTAACAGAAACAAACTTTCCACCTTTAAAAATTGATTCTCAACCTAAAGAAAGTTCTTCTAATTCTGATGTAGATGATAAAATCGTAAGAAGTACATCAAGTTGTTTATCAGAAAACGAGCCTGACTTAAATACATCTGATCAAGACACTACAAAACAAGAAAAACAAGAATTTGAGGTTTTAAATTTACCATTTGAGAAATTGAATTTACTTGCTATTGAATCATCAGTATTAAATAGTGATGATTTTTTCTCTTTTAATCCATCAGAATTTGAACTAGTCACTTTAAATCAATTAGATAAAGAAAATGATGAAAATCCAGATGAACCTAGATTAAAAAAGCAAAAGGTTGATTGTGATGATAACCTTTTTAATCCATCAGAATTTGAACTTGATACTTTAAATCAATTAGAAAAAGAAAATGATGATAATTTAGATGAACCTAGTACTTCAAAAAAGTAAAAGGTTGATTGTGATGATAACTCTTTTAATCCATCAGAATTTGAACTTGATACTTTAAATCAATTAGATGATGAAACTGGTGAAAATTCAGATGAACCTAGTACTTCAAAAAGACAAAAAGTTGATTGTGATGACAAATTATTTAATGAAAATAAAAATAAACAAAAAGATGTTAGTAAAATTGAAGACATTAAATACAAGAGGAAAATACCATCTAAATCGAAATAAATGTTTTTATTAAAAGAATGACGTATTTAATTTATTATTAAAAAATAAAACTTGTTTTTATTAGAAAATTAATATTTTGAATATATAAATGGAAATAAAGTTTTACCCCAATGAAATCAATATTAAGATTAGTCAATGGTATATTAAGTGAATCAATAAGATCTAAAGAATCTTCAGGTAGTACAGAAAATGATGAATTATTATTAAAGAAAAGTAACTTTAATAATAACATTTATTCTGATTCTGCTGAAAAATCAAATCCTGAATTAATAGAAGTGAGTATTAGTAAGTTTTTAAAAATATTCCTCTATTTAAAAGTGATTCAGTTGATGAGCAAGAAATTGAATTGTCTAAATCAGAATCTTCTAAAACAGTTAAAAATGATTCAGTTATTAGAAGTGTTAAAACAACTGAAGAAGATTCAATTAGTAACACTACTACTGATAGTACATTAGTAAGTGAAAAGAAAATTACTATTAAGGGATCATCTACTCATGATGAAGAATCCAATAAAAGTAGTGATTCTACAGTAGATACTGAAAAAGCACTTTCTTTCCTAGACTTAG